TTTTATCAAAAAGTGAAAAAATACCGAACTCCAATGAAAATTCAAATCGGAAAGTCCTTATCAAATATCAAAATCGAAAGCTCAAACACATCAAACGAATGGAAAACAACTGTTATATTTCCTGACCCGTTACAGCTATTTCCTTATGTAGAAAATGTTTGATAAAACCTGGTTTTGTAGCTAGCTATACATCTCACTGTTATGACAACCTCATTGATTTGATGCATGGATTATTTGATGCATTATGACATGTGTACTCTTACGTCAACGTTTTCAACTTTTTTATTAACTAAAAAACAACATTGTTAGGTTCTATTATACATATAACATTACAAAAAGCATGTCATTTCAGAATTTAAAAAAAGAGGCAGGTATAAACATGATAAATACAATTAAATGTATAAATATTAAAAAAAAAGAATAACAAAAACTAACACAACAAAGTGAATAAAAATAGTAATTCTTAAGCTTTTTTGTTCTGATATAAATAACGTTTTTTAAGTTGAACTATAAACAACCCTGAATACGTATAAATGCAAACTGATATGTCTAAATTTACAGCCAATGCCCATATAATATAGAGAATATTAGACACAGTCATAGATATCTCAAAATTGAGTTTAAATACATTTGTAAACTATTTCTTAACATCGGAAACGTTTTGGAAGTTGATATGATTTTTATAAGATAGAATGGAAGGACAATTCTTTTTTTAATTTATCATTCTTATTTTAAGATTTTTTAAACCCAAGTTAACAGTTATCATTTTAAGTTGACATTTATCACTATCAAGTGACATAAGCCTTAGCTGAACTTTTGAATTATTGATTTTCGATTCAATTTCGTATTTCATCTCTAGAACAAACATCCTTTTGTCTGTATAATCAATGAGTTTATATGATGAGGAAATCATATTTTTTAAAGGATGAACCAGGAAAAACGTCATAGGCGGCAACATGAGGAATATGCAGGTTTGTATATTTTGATATTTGTTTTTACTAAATATTATTTTGGCCAAATTATCAATATTTTGCCGTAACGCGCGTCTGGCTATGAAGTTATAAACAAATTCTTAGATAAAATATGAACGACTTCTTATTAATACACTAAATTAAATATTAAATCCGTTCATACATCAAAGTTATAGGGAACACAAACACATTAATAGTAAAATATTTATCTGAATTTTTAAACCAATACGCGCGTACGTAATAAAATTTGTAAAATTATTTTAGTGCAATTTCCAAATATCATTTATGAATGTTTCAGAATTATGATTAAAGCAGAATATGCTAACTCGACTTTTGTTATATGTTTATTTTGACGTTTTTTAGAAAGGCCTTCATTCATCCAAAAGTAAAATTTAAAAAAATCATGAAGAGGAATTGATATGTAAAAAAAAAAACTGGCAATGACTGCTATTGATTAATACATATCATTATTCGTTGAACAATGTTATATATTAGTGATAATGTCATTTTCACTTACGACAAAGCTTATTGCACTCATCTAAATATAAAATGTAAAACACAGATCACCAAGTAAACGTTACACGAGATTATAGTACAGGGTAGACATAACCCTTACGATGAATTAATTCATAAAAGGTGTCATAAGACATTAAAATTTATATATGAATAAACTATTTCGGTCAATGACACATCAAACAAAATATAACGTCCTTCAAAAAATTCTTTATCAATGTATATTTTTGTATGGCAATGAATGCATAGTAACACTGTCATCTATGTACCTCTTCGGATCATTCCATGGTGTTGAAAGTTCACGTACTCAGTTATAATGACAAAATATAATTGTTGGTCACCTTTATCTCGGTCATATATTTTAGTAAAAACTCTGTTTTCTTGATTAATTTGGTCATATTCTTTGTTTACATTAATATAAGTCCACTGCCTTTAGAGAGTCAATAATGCAGATTATATATAACATGATAAATGAATTCGCCAATTACACATATCATTCTGTCTTAATTGGCGTAGCAGGAAATTATTATATTCAACAATATAAAAAACATTACAAATACATTTAGATGACAGTTCACCCGTATCTTTTTTTTTTTTTTATTTTGTTAATTGTTTTTATCACACTAATATATCAATACATAAAAAGGATATACGTAGGCGAGGTTTAGGAATTTGTGTCAGATGTTCCGACTCCTTGGTTTTCTTCCTTCAATACAGGGTTAAATATTTTGCCCCATAACACCCATTTTTCTTTTTATAAAATACTTCATTCGCTCATAAAAGGTTATTTACCAAAATTTCAGCAGATTCTAGATTTCTTTTCTTTCGATTTGATACCCAGATAATACCTATGCAAATATAAGGTTAAAGTCCTAGTCAGCCTTTTCCCGCCATTTTAAAAAAAATCAAATATCTCAAAAAGGAGCTCCATAACCTATCAATATTTTTAGCTTATTTTGTTCTTTAACTAATGCTCTTCTTACTTATAGTATCAATTTTAAATTCTAGATTTTTTTTTAATTTCACCTAAGTACATCCTTAATGATACATGTAGGTGTGTCAATTCCATATTCATATTCCTAAACCAGTCTGATAGAAAAGTTAATTCTTAAAAATAAATTAAACATAACCGCCATCATGGGAGAAATCAGTTAAATATTAAACAAAATTGTAGCTATTAGTACAGTAATTTTGTACGTCAAAAAACTTACTGCAAGGAAATCTACGTCAATAAAGCGAACAAACCAATCTCGAGTTTTTCTATGAATAAGTTTCACCGGATGCCCCGAAGGAAATCGATGTAAACGACGTCATTGAACTATCAATTCTTACTGTGATGTAATAAAAAAAAAACATTATGGCATAGGAAATGTACGGAATATTGCACGAATTCCAAAATCGTCTATACTATACAAACCAACCAGATAACTATTGATCAGTTACAATTTGTTACCATTTCAAATGGGCTGTTTTAACAATTTACTCGTTATACGTTACACAATGTTGTTGTACTTGCTTAGTTAAGAAGCTCAGTGTATGATAACATAAGTAAGCGAGAATGGAATGTTAAGTAACTATGTTTTACAACTAATTATTCTATCACATTTTTTTCTCAAAATCAAAAGTTTGTATGCAGAAAAATAATGTTAAATCATGTGGTATGACACAAATATACTCTAATATACACATTCAAAATATCAATGTTCTTGCCTTCCGTAAAAAAAATCACAAAAGATACTTTACATTAAAATACAGTCTGTGCCTTGTTTCTATATTCCATCAGACGAAATTTGTAAGAACATCGTCCTTTCGAAATTTATCATATTTTTTTTTAATGCAAATAAATCTGTGTAGAGTGTATACAATGTTAAATTGTAAAGAAATTATTTGTATAATCAAATGCGTTTTCTTGATAGATTATCAAAGGATTTTGGGTGTTCATCCATGACACAAAATCAGTACATGCACAGCAAAAGCACACACAAGCATTGCATACATATTTAAATTCTTGTTTATCAATATAAAATTTTTAAAAAGAAAGAAAATCTAATGAAAACAAATTTTAGAATTAGTATATTCAATGAAATTATTAGAATAAATATCTGGTACCCTTCACAAAGAACGCAAGTTTGAGCTCTTGATTTTCCATTTGAAAATAGGTTGTCCTTCAGGTGAAATATGATATTAGATTCCAAGAAAAAATCATTTTCAATTTGTTGTTCACTTGTTAATTACAATTTTTTAATGTATACTAGATGTGTGGTCTGTTTTTGTTCAACCATCTTGTAGCCCATAAAGGAAGTTTTCATCAACATTCTCTTAAGCTGTCGGTTTTACTATCTTTTTTAATTGTATACAATTGAACCTTGTTTGGATGTGAGTTGTTTACTTCACATAATTATACTGAGATTTTAGTCGTTTATTTTTGCCAATATGTTTTGGCACTGATTTGGTATATTCGACTTTATGGGTATTTTGTCAATATAATTTCAATTTCTTTGATATATCTTTTTACTGAAATTCTACTATTTTCATAAATGTCATTACATTAATAATTGTCTGTTATTAAAAGATTAAATATGTTAATGTATCTCAATCTAAAATGTATTGTCGTATTTGCTTCATAAAAGTTTAAGAAAATGTTTGAATAAAGGTTTCAATTTGACCCCTACTTGATGTACATATTTTGTATTTGTGCGTTGCTTTTGTTTTTGGTTTTTTTTTGTGTTCCGAAATAAAGTCACAAATCAATTTATGTAAACTTAGATGATGAATTTTTTGAATCAATATGGTGGAAGATAGACATTTTTCATTTTGTTTTTAAACTGTTTTTTATTTATTTTCCCTTTCCTTATTTTTGTGATTTTCTTTATATTTACACTACTTAATCATATTAATGTTTCATTAAAATTTCCTCTCCGAACTTCTGAATGTAATGCTGATTTATAAATACAGTTACTGCTTTTGATTGGGTGGTGCTAAAACTTGAACATTTTTCTAAAGATAATAGCATTATTACATTAATAGCATCAACAATAATAATTTGGCTGCACCAGTTAGGAATTACGACAAGAAATGTTATTGAGCCAGCCTATTTGAAAACTCAAAACTCAAATTTGATACCACATTTTCCATATTGTCATTCCATACCAAAATACTGGCTATTTGGTTGATTATACCCCAGGGGACATCCATTCCACTCTGCAGATGTATCGACCCAGTGGTAGTAATAACATGTACGGTGCCAATTTAACTTCATAAGACAAAAATAACAATATTGCAAGTAAATACATAAACTATACGTGTTCGAAAATTGTGAGCATCGTTTTACAATATATCATTGATCTTTATATAAAATGCATGCAAGGGGGAATCTTTGTTTTGGACCTTTTTCATATAGTTTTAGGTCAGTAAATTGATTTTGATATGAAGTACTGTGTGCTCACATTTTTAATATGATTTAAGCCTTACTTATCAATAGGATCTATAAGGTAATGATTGGTTTTTTTTCTTCTATTTTTAAGAAAGATGAGACAGCACGCTTATATACATCATGACATAAGAATTTGTGTTTGTTGCAAATACATTCATACTGGTCTCAGATGTACAGATTGTTTCAACTTTTTCCTGTGATGATAGTATGTTGATTACTGTAGTTTATGATGATGACAAATGAAAACAAAACGTTATAAATGTCTTGCGTTTAAGGCGCTTTTTGTCGGGATTTTATATCACCAGGAACGCGCAAAACAAATACCAGTATTTTAAAGCCAGATATGTTAAAAAAGAACCGAAGCAATTGAAGAGTTATACGACCAAAAAGGACTTTGAAATACATAAATAACTTTGGCTGAGGTAAATGAAACCTAAGTAACTTTATAATTTAAAAATTTATAAACAGACAATTTAAAAAAAGTTTTCTATAAACATGATAAATCATGTCAATACCAAAGTACTGACTACTGAGCTGAGCATACCCTCGGCTACTGATAGTCCAACAGCAGAGGCATTGACCAAGTGTTTTAAAAACTGAAAACAAACCGTTATAAACATCATGAATCCGACGGGCTTTTCTGGATCAACCTCCATCATGCAGGAACAATTATAGCCTATTATTTGAAAGCCAAGTATTTATACGAACCTAACAGTTGAAGAGCTACAATGTATATGACTAAACAGGACCTAAAAATACAAAAATCCATCTAAGGTCAACCTTTCCTGTGTAAATGTGTTTCACTATACAGTTACAGAATATATATTTACCAGGTCAGCGGTATGTAAGGATTTATATTAAACAAATAAGAAAAAAATGTTTGCCTGTCAGCTTTTGTATTCAAATTGAAAGTTTTTAACCAAAGCGTATACGTTTGACGGTTATACAGTCTTTTGCTAGCCGTATTTTAATATCTACCAAATCAAAAATATTGATTATTGTATTTTTGTTCCGCAGATTTATTACCAGATGTATACCTCCAACGTGTAGCACTCTATTTGTGAGTGTCTGTGTCATGTTGAGTTTTGCAAAATTAAATCTGTGAACCCGTTTATTAAACAATTTAACTGTTAAAAAAAACTGTGTTTCAACTAAGAAGTTAATTTTGGAAAATTTACATAAAAAGTATCACCGTCAAGGTAATTATATACATTTGGAAATATTATTTGCATAAACATGTATGATTAAATAAAAAACCTTATACAGACAGTTCATTATTAAACAGAAGAACTGATAAAAAAAATCATTTACTACATTGTCATTATTCATTCATGTTTTACTTTTTACGTAAGAATCTATAACTCTTTCGCAATGTCATCTCCTAGAGGTAATCTTCTCAACTAAAAATTGTCACATTGAACTTCGGTTGTCATCTTTCGATTCGTGCTGATTTTTTCTTTTTCTTTTTCTTTTTGACTGGTTTTCTTTTAGGTTTTGTATGTGCTTCTACGTCTTCTAATGTTACAATATTCTCGGCAGTAGCGCTTGGCTGAAGTAAAGGATCTGATTGTTGCACATCCTGTACTACATTTGTTTGTACTATCGGCTCCATGTTAAGCCCTTCTTGCATTTCTACACTTCCATGTTGTTGAATGTCGATAGTATCGTCATTATTGCTATCATTTTCTGAGTATATGGTGTTATCATCTATGTTTGATGATTGATGCACATTACTGTTATCTGAAAAAAGCTTTTTTATTCACATAGAGAATGCTTTGTCTTTATTTTGTACAAAGTTTACTTTTCAATTGTTTGGACTTCTGTGGATGAAATGGTTATTTTCAAAGCATTGTTTTCTCATTTTTTTGTGATTGATCTTTATGGCAGAATGGAGCTCTCCATTTGCTATTGTTGCTTTCAAAGGATTGATTCTTAACATTTTAAAATTTTTCTCTATGGACGAATTGTTCTCCTGGGTGACAATTTGTAGAGTAACAATCTTTTCTTAGCTGTTTCTTGATAAATTTGTGTATTTTACATCCGACATTTTATAGAAATAAGATTATCTGACCAATATCGGCCAAAAACTGGATGACGTTTACCTGAACTATATTGTGATATAGATCTTTAATCGATTGGGCTTCATGAATAGAATTTCAACAAAATAAATCTTACGAACATGCCTGATGTGAGTAGTCTACAACGATCGTTTTTACAGTCTGTATAGAACCACCACAACCATCAATCACTTGATAATTTGTTCAAGTTATTGGAGTATTTAAAGAAACAAAATGTGTACTCTTTGCTGATCTGATGGGTCAGCCCTTTTCCAACTATCTTTTACAGTTATTTCTAATATTGTGCTGTTAAAAATCGGCTGCGAGTAAGAGAAACGACTAACCAACATGTTTGTATCTTTCTGTCCTAAGTCAGAAGCTCATAACTCAATGGTTGTCAATTTTTCCTCGCTTAAATGTTGTACATGTTAATAATAGGGTTAGAAATACGCCAATTTTGTAAATGAGCAACATACTTGCAATGCATTCTTTGAATTGGATCTATTGTAATACTTACCAGACCGCAGACATTTCACCAATAATGATATCCAAATGGTAATGGAAAAGATTACCATTATACAGCAAATTGTCACAATCACGATTTCTGTTAAGTTTAGAGGGAAGCCAGATTTTTCTGAAATAGGTTTTTCAAACACAATTTAGATTTGTTTATGAGTGTTTAAAAGTAAAATCACAAAAATACCGAACTCCGAGGAAAATTCGAAACGGAAAGTCCCTTATCAAATGGAAAAATCATAAGCTAAAACAAATCAAACGAATGGATAACAACTGTCATATTCCTGCCTTGGTACAGGCACTTTTTGATATAGAAAATGGTGGATTAAACCTGGTTTTATAGCTAGCTAAACCTCTCACTTGTATGACAGTCGCATAAAATTTCATTATAATGACAACGATGTGTGAACAAAACAAACAGACAAAATAGGTTTAAATGTCAACTTCATTAGCAGAATTGTATATTTTGGCTCATTTAATTTATTAAACATTCATTAATCATAATAGATACAGATATTTAGAAATTAGTGCATTACAACTGTGTTACAATAACAGATATTATAGTTTTAGTCTTTAAAATAACAGTTTGCCTTAGATGAGTCCTGCCATTATTTTAAGTCCTTTTTTTGTGATGAAAATAAAGAGAGCATAAAAATTCGGATTTTTTCCGTCAATCGTCTTTACTGTCGAGCGATAAGTGTAAAGGGTATACAAATGCTATAACTTATCATTACCTTTGATACATGGCCGGGAACCATTTACAATAGCAAATTTTGTCTGACCAATTCTGCAGAAAATTTCAACAGTTTTATGACAAACATAATTGATCGTATAGTTGAATCGTATATTTGATCGTAAAAATAATCCATTTTCATCGTTCTTAATAAATAAGTTGTTCGTTACATCTTTTATCTGCAATACAAAAAATAAATAAAAATATAATTGGGCCTATTAAGTATACGTTTACTTGATTGTCATTAATTGTAAACTAAATATACCTACCATTAAACAAACAACTGTTTTATTTTTTTTCTATGTTTTCTTGACTAGTTTTGAACATTTCGTGAAATAAAATGTATTTGAATACTTACCCCATACATAGCGGTACATATCGGAGCAGGGTAAACTTTCATCAGTGTTATATTAAGTAAAACTTGTTGTCCGTCAGATGTTAGGTTGTATGGAAGCATTTCCTCAGGATGATCTCAAATATAGAACAGATAGAAAGTAACTGACAACATACTTTGATTTGTAAACATTAAATCATTGTTCGATTTTTTTTATGAGAAAGCAACATAACACGCAAAAAAAATAAGCAACAGGTAAAATTTAGATGTTTGCAGTAACAGAAAAAAAGTCAAGCTCGTATACGCTTCGACACAAGATTGGTGGTAATATATTTTAAAAGAGAGATGAGAAGATCTACCATATTTTCAAATGAAGTCGAAATAAACGAGTCTATTCATTCATTGTCTATGAATAATAATCCAAGAAAAGGTCTTTTAAAACAAATTTCGACAACTTGTTCTAATGTCTTGGCTTACGTAAAAATTAAAATAAACAACAATTGAACGTAATGTTGATGTTGGGAGGGGGTCTAAATAAAATCAATAGATATTGTTCATCTTTTTTTCAAGCTGTAGTTTATATCAAGCCTTTTTAAACAAGACTAACACAGTGTTTTGACGTGCGTCGCTGCATGTATTTGGTATTGGTAAAATGTTTATTGAAGTATAAATGATAATTTCTTTCCATAGAAGGGAAAACAAATTTGACGGATATTCTTTTTGTACAGACCGTGTTGTGGAATTTCAAAATAGTGTTGTAACATATGCTCACACGCTACTACTTAATATAATCATGCAGATCAAAGTATAAAATAATTCTCTCTCACAGAAGCAATGAATAACTTGGTTATAATTGTCCTTGTACAATGAGTGTAATGGAATATAAAACTATTCTCAAATAGATGGTGTGTGCACGGAAGATGAAAATAAAAAGTATTGGACATTGTTGTATTTTAGGTTGTACAAAAAGTGTCAGATTTTGTATAGATTATACACGATAATTCACACGGTACAAGAAAGAAAACCTAAAGATTGAAATCCTGTAATATTTTGTTGTTTCAGCAATTGTCATAAGCCCATCTTCACAGTTGCCCACTATACCATAACTTAGAAAAAAAGAAATAAAAAAAGACTTCAGTTCAAATCCCTCCCACCTTAGGTTTTGTCAGACAGTGCTTGTTACAGTAATGCAGAATTACCATCAAAACGATTTATGTTGTTAATTCCCAACGTCTTTAATTTCTTATTGTGTTACATACATATGTCATGTACATTACCTTATACCTTACGCTGTTCAGATTAATTATTATCGATTACAAACAAGATAATCGATGAATGAAGCCCCTTTTCTTTCTACATATATAGAGTTTCTTGCTAAAGTATTTAAACGTTCAACATATGATGTGCTCACTGTGTAATACATATTCTTTAAATTACATATTAATCAAATTCACGTCTCACTATATAGCTAATATCCTCTCACAGAATATTTTAACGTTTAACGACTATGTAGAACGCATTTTTCCGATCGAACATGAAGAAAAAGATAGAACAGATACGGTAACGTCTGCCTTTCATCTTGACAAACAATTAGTAATTTCAATAATGGTAGCTTGCACAGAACAACAATTAACGATATAAACATATGATTTCTACTTCCCAATTGTTAACTTTTCTATGTAGCAACATTCAAACAGCGTCTACATTTGAAGTATGTATTTCCAAGTTTATAATAGCTTGTATTTCCTGACACAATTTCCTAGATAGGGAGTGGTTGTAAAATTGGAAGCTTTTATATCAAGGTTTCTTAGTGGTTAAGTCGAAGTCATCATTTTCGAAAACCGTATGGCTGCCATCACGAGTTAGTTGATTGCTATGTGATATCTGTTCACAGGTGACGACGTATATCTAAATATCGCGACAGCAATCTTGTTTTGTTCTATCTAACATGACATTATCGAATTATACTTTTTAGGTATTTTGTTCTTACAAGAGCAGAAAGATGGGTATCACACGAAGAGCCGGATCTGTTTAGCTGTGCGTAGCACTGAGACCACCCTATGGTTTTTATTTAGTTCGTGTTGCTTCGACTTTAGCGTTCTAAGTTTTGACTGTTGTTTCTGTTTTTGGTCGTTTTCATTTATTTTCACATCGTTAACAGTTTGTTTTCGACATAAAAATTTGAATAATCCTTTGTTAGCTTCCGCCTCCCTTCTACAAAATAGAGAATCGAGTCATTTTGATACAGATGACATGAACGGAAAGTTGTGTACTGTGTATTGTATTCTCTTTACTTCTCAAACTTAATTTAGTAAACAAGAATTCTCAACCTTTTTACGGATTGTAATCTAATTTAATCAACAATCAACAATGGAGTTAACTAACAATATAATAATCAGGTGCTATAATATATCCCAAATATAATAACAAATGCCTTGGTAGTTGTAACTACATTTTGAGAATTTTTCTGCGTCCTGAACTCGAAATATTCTTCTCTTGATTCATTGATTAACCATTACCGCAAACGACCCTTCATTGGTGTTAATTTAAGGTAGTTGTTTCAATAAAAAAACAAAAGGCTGTCGAGTGACAGCAAACCGGATTTTCCTGCAGAGGTCGAACCCTGAACAGTTGAGCAAGTATGGACACAACATTTATTTAAGCTGAAAACAGCTCTGAATTTGGGTTGTGATTGAATATTTGACATAGCATAGGTTCGTGACACTAAATGAATGTGGTCAAAGAACTGAAAATTGGAATTGGACATTTACCTATTATGGTCCAATATTCAAAACCTAAGTACATTGTTAGAATCAGCATATCAAAGAACCCCAAGAATTCAATTTTTGATCAAATAAAACAAAAGTTTAATTTAGGCCCCTTTGACATCAATGTGGACCAATTTGATAAAGGAGCCCACAATCCAAAATCTCTCAATACATGGTTAGATTCAGCATTTCAAAGAACCCCATAAATTCAATTTTTGTTGAATCAAACAAGGTTTAATTTTGGACCCTGATTTGGACCAACATGAAAACTGGGCCCAAAAAATCTAATATTTAAACACAGGTTTAGACTCAGCATTTGAAAGAACCCTATCTTTATATCTAATTTATGTTGAAATAACTCAAACTGGATAAATAGTTCTCTAAAATTAGATATGATGTAATTTTTCAAATTATAATCAATAATATAATGACAGCAACCAGTGATGACTAAGTTCTCTAAAAATTAGATATGATTTAACACTCAAACATTGTTAGAATCAGCATATCAAAGAACCCAAGAATTCAATTGTTGATGATATTAAACAAAAGTTTAATTTAGGACCCTTTGGACCTCAATGTGGTATTATCTAATTAATAATGAAAATAAATACAGGTTTAGATTAAGCATTTCAAAGAACCCTATATATTCAAATTTATGTTGAAATCAAATACAGTTTAATTTTGGACCCTGATTTTGACCAACTTGAAAACTGGGCCCAAAATCAGAAATCTAGATATGTTTATTAATAGACAATACAGGTTTAGCTTTTAAAGGAGTTCACTTCATCAAAAAGAAAAATATATAGCATTCAAACAATTAGTTTTTACAGAATAACAAACAAACGTACCACAAAATTCTTCATTCCATTTTACCAAAGAAAAGAAAAAATCAACTGCTTCGCCGAGCGCAGCTGGATACGACCGCAGAGGTCCAACCCTGAACAGTTGGGGCAAAAATGGACCCAATATTCAAGCTTGAAACAGGTCTAAATTTGGATTGTAATTAAATATTTGACACATTATAGGTTTCTGACACAGAATAAATTTAGTCAAAGAACTTAAAATTGGATATATGAATTTATATTCAATTGAAGATTTCTGCTGTTGTGCAATACTTAGTAAATATGTTTTCAGACTATATACAAAGAATTAGCAATTGTGAACCCCAATTTTTCTTTGGAAAACTGACAATTTCTATAATCTTGAAGAAATAAAAGTTGTCCCCCATTAAAAAAAAAAATTTCTTTTTGTAAAATGTGGTACAATTTAAGAGACATCAATAACTAGGAAAATGCTTATTTTAGACCCTTTTTGGTCCCTTATTTCTGAACAGTTTGGGCAATTACCCGAACATGAATCCCAACCTTCAAATCGTGGTATTGAATCTTGTGGTACAATTTTAAAGCAATCGAAATACTTATACACAAGTTATTTTCCAGAAACTAGAAAAATGCTTTTTTGGGCCCTAATTCCTAAACGGTTGGGACCATCACCCCCAAAAACAATCCCAACCTTCCTTTTGTGGTATTGAAACTTTTGGTAAAATTTCATAGAGATCCATACACTTTAACTTAAGTAATTGTCTGGAAACCAAATGTCTTCGGACGACGACGACGACGACGCCAATGACGACATGGTAGCAATATACGACCCCAAATTTTTTGTTGCTGTCATATAAAAATCCAAAATTGTGTATATCATTAATACAATGTTTTTTAAAAATCTATAAAACTTATCTGTAATGATCTTCAAACTGTCTAAAAATTTAGCTTATAATCATCAGCACTTAGGAAACAGAACATTTTCAAATAAATATGTCACTCCAATTATAATTCTGAGATAAGACATTTACCATATGCTTAGTCATAATCTGATAACAGGAGAAAATAATTTAAAAATATTAGTGTAACCAGACTTTATATATATGATTAACCATTTCTGTACAAAGAGGAATAACTCAATCACATTATAAATACCACTACTGGATATTTAAAAGGGCGATAACTCAACAAGGAGAAAAGCTAAAATCGTGAAAATTGAATTTGACCTTCATTTAGTCACAGGAAACAACATATCTAAATTTGAAAAAAAATTCATAGACGCGTTTTCATGTTATTGAACGGACACTGTTTGGCAGGCGCCCGCCCGCCCGTTCCGCCCAAACGCCCGCCCGCCGCCGTACATCCCCAAATCAATAACTGATAGTTCCTTCGAAAATCCGGTTAAAAAATTGTATCCATCATTGTGTTACTACTAAATATAAATTCTAAATATTATTTTCTGGTAAAATGTCATCGTTTACTTCCAGTTGTGCACATGAATTAAAACTTTCACCTGATCTTCAAGGATCATTCGGGATTTTTCATCCTCGACCTTTTATATCAACAATATCAGGACAAGAATGCAGCGTGTATTGGTTTCACGAACAAATGCAACTGGCAGCTTTCAAACGATGAAATGTAAGATGACTGCTGAAAGTCCTAAACTAAGTTTGTTTGGTATTTTGGGTTTTTTTTTCAAACCACTCATGTATAGTTCGGACATGCGATAATTGATAACTGTGAGATTGAAATAATGAAACTACTTATTACATATTACTGTTTGACAAAGAACCCAAGCTTCTTCTAATAGAAACAAACTAAAAGGGTTTTTAGTATATTCTGATTTGACTTTTACAGGATTCAAACGAATACCAATGCCTTATTAAACAAATGGCAACATATCTAGCAAAAAACAACCGTCTTTACAGTTTTTAACAGAAGTATTATGTCACTTTAACACATTATACGCAATATCAATTATTCTCAATGCCAAGAGTATCAGGATATATTCTGGGCGTTACAAGTACAAAAATACATGCAATCTTAAAACCCAATCCCCAGTCATGTATATCAAATAACTGAATATTGCAAATTATAAAACATTAAAGTAATACATAAACAGACTGTTCAAAACATGCTAATTACCTCACATGAAACATAGTTTATTTGACAACAAAAGCTTACATTAAATGTCTTTAACGGCATTGTAAAAAGCTAGAGATCCGTTACTCTAGAACCGAAGATAATATGTATGTACATGTACTGAATTATTCCTAAATGTCCGCAAAACTACAAAATCACAAGATTATGAGTAACCAATTTTTCTCATTTTAACATGCTGAAAAGTATGATACATGTCTAGTTTTGTCTCAGAATAGTCTAAACATTCTGCGTTTTTCTTATCTTTAAAACCGACAATTTTAGTCAGATACTTTTACTTGTCTGTTTCGTAATTAGAATAAGATCCCCGTACAGATCTAGTTCTGATTTGGTGTGAATATTTAACGGGACAAATTTTATATCAAATCAAAATACAATCAAGTGCTGATAACATGCAAAGGAAAACCTTTGAGAGGTTCGAACGACATTCTTCTATGAATTTAAGTTGCTAAACTTATCACTAAAAAAAATGCTCCTTACTTACTTACTGTACTTCCAAAGTATAACAAAATATCAAATTCTAGGAAAGTTTATTTACCATTAATTTTTGCTATACCATGTATACTGCATTATCAAATACTAACTGTTTTGTTGGCGACTTCCTCAGATATTTTTATGTTTGTTTATATTTCGTACGTCAGTTGTGTTACATGTCCAGACTGTATGTTTACACACCTTAGGTTTCTGGATCGCAATTAGTATTGGCAATTATATCTGTTTGAGATTATTACACAATTGTGTCAATATAAATGAACTTTAAACAACCTTCTTGCAAGTGGAACGTTTAGCTAATTACAAAACCAAATTTAACCCCCCATTTTCGTAGGAAAAGCTCAAACCAAGTCAGGAATATGACAGTAGTTGTTCATTCTTTCGGTTGGTTTATATTGTCGAGAGTTAAGGGTTTGGACTTCCTCATTTTTGAATTTACCTTAAATTTCGCTTTTTTAATGCATTTTTAGTGGGTTTGTTATCCATGACATTTACTCCACGTAATACCACAAGAAAGAGATTTTGATAGTACTTGAAATATGACACAACGACATCTTTGATATTTGATATATGCATATTTGGAATACGCAAAAAAATAAACGTTTATTACTTTCTATTCAGGAATATTTCAATTTTATTTTTATTTTTTTAAGGTAAACTATCGATTCCCCCCCTTTCCCCCCGCAGGCAGTGCAAAGTAAAATAAAGTCTTTATACAGCACTGAAAAATTAATTGCTGTTAAAAAATAAACGAATAGATATTTTTGACAAGAGTTGGAATAGTTTTGCCATTCTTTTCAATGAATGATCAGTTATTATTAACAATGTTTATGTGTACATAAATTAGTAGAAACAGAATTGTCATATGATACATTGGCTCTTATATGAGAAAATACTATATAATTCATCTGTGCAAATAATTAACCAAAACAAACAAAACAACTTTTAATTTCTTTGAAATTCTTCTGATTATTTTTACTTTCAATTATTTTTTCTTGTTCTTTTTTTTTTTTTTTTTTTTTTTTCTTCTTGTTTCTGGTTTTTTTTCATTATTTGAGTACTAAAAAATCTTCAGACATACTTAACACATATATCTTTATATTTTACTACTAAAACAACACAAACTATATATTTTTCATAACCTGTGCATTAGTTATATAAGATAATTATTTGTTTGATAATCTTAATGGTAAAGTTTGTTTTTATATTACTCATTTGGTATATATTTTTTTAAGAATGGAAAATTGTAAGTAGATTACTAACAAATACTAACAGCTGTATGAATATGTTATTGACTAATGTTAACGAGGCCAGGATAAGGTACCGGTACTTGATGTTTTCCAACTAACAAAGGTACAGATTTCAATAAAATATGATAAATTAAAAAAACAAAATAATAGGAATCAAATCATCTGCTGCCAAAAACGATCAAATGTGCTTCTAAGCTATTGAATGCGCATACAGAACGTCAAATCAATTCCAAACATACTTCCAAGTATTTGTTCAAATACAGAAAGGCGGGAATTGGGGAGTAAATAACAACTAGATTAATGATCAAAACAAATACATTTACACCAAAGAAACATACATGCATACATACTTACTTACCTACCTACCTACCTATCACCTACGTGCATACATACATACATTCAAAATTTTCTTCTGTTAATTCCAAAATATGGCTTGCAGAATCAAAACCGTATGAGCACTCGTAGGGAATATTGACATCGTATTCACTGAACTTGTATATCGTAAGAGTAGATGTATTTGCCGAAATATTTAAGTATTCTTTGTATTTTGCTGTGTTTAGGGATACACCGTTCATTACAATTAAGTCATAGCTTTTCCCTCTTGACCACTTCCGGGTAAACTCGTTGCAACATTTAAATTTGGTTGAAATATGACATTCAAGCTGTACATCTCTTTTAAATACAGGATGCTTGGTGTGAAGATTCCATGAAATACTATCTACAAAATATTCAATAATATTACATGTGTTATACATTCTGCTATTGTGCTCCTTATATATTATACGTTTATAGAAGCTGGACATATATTTGTATTTAATAAATAATTTAACACTGGTGTATCCTTCAATCCTTCATTAAAACATGTTAAAGCATAAAAGTTAATAAATGAAAATAAAAAAACATTCAATTTAAAATTCAAAAGACATCTTAATAATATTGTTACTTTAAATAAATGACAATTTTCCCATTAAATGCTCTAAGAAAACTGGCTTGATAAATTTAACGAATATTGTCCTTCCCTTGGTATGGATATTTCTGCTTCACAATGGAAACTTCATACTAAATTTTAAGACACAAAAATATGTTTAGTTTCCTACTATCAATTTTCCTTTTATAGACGTTGAGGGTGTTTCTTATACTTGAAAACTTATTTGTTCTACAAATATTGTATTGTTGTCTTACATTTCAATGAACAAAATATGTGATTTCCTGTAAAACTAAGGATTTTCGTTACCAAGAGTTATTATATTCTTTCAAAGATACAAATTAAATGGCGTGGTTATTTGACTCTAAAATTTTAGAATTTTAGAACACCGTCCGAATAGATGCTTAATTATTTAAGTACGCTAGACGAGGTTTTGAAACAGGTAAAAGGCTTTAACTGGATATCATATCTTTCGTTTTTCGGTAACGTTTATGAAACCCTTTATCTTTTTGATAAACAAATTCTTTATTGATATCAGTTTAACACCGTAGTAAGGTTTTGTACATTGTTTTATCCATAGTTTTATTGATTTTGTTTTTAAATTAAATTATAACTAAATATGCATTAATATACGAGTGTGAACAAAAATGAAAATAACATTTAATAAGCATGCACCGGTCGCGTTTTTCTGGATAAATCTTCACCAGAAAAACTTAATGCCGAATGTTGAAAGCACAGAGACAGTTGAAGATACATTGTATATATATATATAAAAAGGACCTTAAATTAATAACCAATAAATCTAAGGTAAACTTTATATAAAATCCGTTAGATGTTTACGGATTAATACTTAGATACCAGTAACTGCGAGTGCTCTTTGGTCAGTACTTTGTATTTATTTTTTGTCCTTATGCTAGTTGTATTTTGTGGTTCGTGGCAATCTGACAAGTCAAGTGATTTTTGTATATGTTGTTCTTATGTTGTGCTATTAACCAATTGTCTAAGGTTACGGGTAAAGTTGAGTGCTCACAATATAAAGATAAAAAGATATTATGTCATTGTCAATTGGACAAATTTGGTAAAATTTTATTCAAAAACGAAGCGCCGGATACAAAGGGGCATTTTATACTCGCAAGTCGAGATAAAATGACAATAACATGGTAAAACACGAATGAGAACGAACAAGGAAAAAAAACAAGTTCACGCAACAGAAAAAAAAGTCTATAATGCTTATCTGGTATTCAACATATGGTCGAAACCTTTCGTTTACACATTATTTAAAGTAAAAATATATATTTTAAGTGTATCAACATTTCTTTGCTGTGCCTTCAAAATATGGTTAATGTGAAAAAGCATATCTTAAGTATTATAATATTACTTTTACGGCTTTTAAAGATTCCATATTAAAGAAGAGGCGAAAGATACCAAAGGGACATTCAAACTAATAAGTCAAAAATAAACTGACAATACCATGGCAAAAAAAAAAAGAAAATGACCAAAAGACACAAAACGTAATATAGAAAACTAAATGCTGAGCAAAACGAACTCCACCAAACACGGGGGGTTTTAATGAGGAAAAATATAAGTTGACAATTCTAACGAGTAATTAAGTGGACATTCAAGTTCATCTCGTCAGTTTCTGGCATTTAGTTGGACTGTAGATATTGCCATGCTTATATATTTAGCTGTTTACAGTTTACTTTTATCGAATATAGATTTGTATTTAAAGAAGGTAATAAATGCCAAAATTCATCACTACAGGGCATAAATTCGTATGAGTTGTCCACTGGTTATTTCGGTGATGTAGATTTTTTTTTTGTAGGTCTTTTTCTAGCTGATCCGTTATTTAACTTGAAGTTTTTTCTCTATCTATTCTTGTTCTTAAGATTGTATCCATTTACGTAAACAAAGACTCATCAGTGACGCTCGAATAAAAAAGTTGAAAAGCCAAATAAAGTAAAAAGTCGAAGAGCATTAAGGAACCACCATTCCCAAAGGTTCTGCTAAATACAGATATGCTGATCTATTCATGGGATAGCAGATCCATATATATAATTAGTATATTTAAGTTTGGTGAACAGTTTATTTATAAATATGATCACATCAATGATGATTCATGTTGAAACAGAAGTCCTGAGTAATGGGGTGATGATACCATCAAACATGCAGTTGCATCAACCCAGTGGTTGTAAAATAACTCATAAAAGATACCTGGCTCATAATTGTGTACGCCAAACTCATGTTACGTCTGCATAAAACTCACAAGGGACGTCAATTAAAAAAAAATTGAAAAGCCAAATAAAGTACACCGTGACATTTGAAGAGTATTGAGGACTCAAAACACCGAAAAGTTCTGCAAAATACAGGTATGTAAATATATTTCAGGAGTATACAAGAGGCTGTCAGAGTGATAGCAAACCGGATTTCCTACAGAGGTCGAACCCTGAACAGTTGAGCAAGTATCGACACTACATTTAAGCTTAAAACAGCTCTGAATTTGGATTGTGATTGAATATTTGACACAGCATAGGTTTGTGACTAGGGATGTCAACGAGTACTCGGGTATTCGAGTATCGCTCGGTAGTACCGAGTATCGATTACCAAAATGATAATCGAATAATCGCTTTCCTGGTAGAATGTTATTGCTTTCTTAAGCTTAAACAAAAAATATTTGTATTGAGAGCGCCTCCCGGGAAATAAAATATTAATCAAAATTAATAAAAGTTAAAATACGACTCGAATGTTTGCGTTTAACAGTCATTTAAAGTTCCTCCAAACAGAGGTAAGATATATGAACATGAGCACTTTTCCAAGGCTTACAGATTTAGCATATATTTTCATCAGCAGGACTGTTGGTTACCTAACAAAGTTGAGCAATCGCCTCGTCCACGAAAAATTTGACAAGATAATATTTTTCAATAAGAATAAATTATTACAGGCATCAGTAAGTTCTAATCATCACCCCTTTGGTGATCATTAAATGTGTTTTTTACGGTTCCCAAATACTGTAGTTTGAGTAATCATTTTTCTATAGATATTAGTTAATTATTTGATAAGATTATTGCCAACTTACATAATTAGTACATGTAGTAAATGAGCTATTAATTATGGTATTAAATTTCTTTGACTATTATCTAGTCCTAGGTAATAATGTTGAGGGTTTTACGTTCATAAGGCAACGACCCACAATACATAAAATGGGTATTATTTTGTGTTTCCATTTTGTAAATGTTTTACCGCTCGGTAAATCCAACGAGTACTCGATTAGTAAATCTTTGCCGAGTTGACATCCCTATTTGTGACACAAAATGAATGTGGTCAAAGAACTGGAAAATTTGAAATTGGACATTTACCTATTATGGTCCAATATCCAAAATCTAAGTACATTGTTAAAATCAGCATATCAAAGAACCCCAAGAATTCATTTTTTGATGAAATCAGACAAAAGTTTAATTTAGTACCCTTTGGAACTCAATGTAGTATTATCTAATTAATAATGAAAATAAATACATGTTTAGATTCAGCATTTCAAAGAACCCTATATATATTCAATTTATGTTGAAATCAAACACAGTTTAATTTTGGACCCTGATTTGGACCAACTTGAAAACTGGGCCCAAAATCAGAAATCTAAATATATGTTTATTAATAGACAATATAAGCTTAGTTTTTAAAGGAGTTCACTTCATCATATATATATATATTCTGTATAAACCAATTTTCTGAATGCTATATATATATATATATATATATATATCATTCAGAAAATTGGTTAATACAGAATAACAAACAAACCTACCACAAAATTCTTCAACCAATTTACCAAAGAAAAAAAATCCAAAATGTCATTTATCATTAATACAACATTTTGTACAATGTCTTTATAAAATCTATAAAACTTATCTGTAAGACTTTAGTGTTATCAAACTTTAAATATATAATAAACCATTTATGTTCAAAGGGAATTAACTACATCACATAATAAGTACCACTTTTGTCTACTGGAAAGGGCTATAACTCAACAACGAGAAAAGCTAAAATCGTGAAAATTGAACTTGACCTTTATTTAGTCACAGGAAACAACATATCTAAATTTGGAAATCCGGTTAAAAATCCTTAGTATTTCTATATATTGGTAAACAGTTAATTTATAAATATGCTTATGTTATACATGCAGTTATTGACCTAGCAACCGGTATATGACATTTAATCTGCACGGCTCGGGTAACACTACTTGACCCACACGACGTAGGGTTTCGGGTTAATGGGTCATCCCGACCGTGTAGATTAAATAATATATACCGATTTGATTGGTCAATAACTGTTTTAACACATGACGTCATAAATGTAAATGAACGATTCTCAAATATTCGGACGTTATTCAATCCAACGCTCCAGGGAAATATTTCTTGGAGTGGAAAAAAAGTGGGAAATATGCCTTTACATGTAAGTAGTAAAGGTTGTTAACTTTTAAATTATAACTTTTTGGTCCGCCCCTAACGATAAAGAGTACATTTGAACTACGCAGTATAGTTAACCTTAGCTGTGCATTATCAAGATTATAGCACATTAAGAACAAATAGATTTTGCCTATGTTATGGCACGCCACCACTGTCTTATTAATAGATATAAGAAGATGTGGTATGAGTGCCAATGAGACAACTCTCCATCCAAGTCACAATTTGTAAAAGTAAACCATTATAGGTCAAAGTACGGTCTTCAACACGGAGCCTTGGCTCACACCGAACAACAAGCTATAAAGGGTCCCAAAAAATGACTAGTGTAAAACCATT